GGAGAAGTGTGGGAACAGGTATCATGTTCTCAACAACAAGAACAGGGGCGACCGCACTCAGGTCACAGAGCTGCTGGAGAAGATAGAGGACATGGTGGCAGGAAAGAGTGACTGTTATTATGAGACTGAGGAAATGAATTTACAGAAGGTGGCAGAGAATTTCAAGACACTGGGAATTAAGGAGAGACAGAGGATACAGGAGCTACTGCAGAAGACACTGGGACCCCAACTGCTTCCCAAGAGTGAGTTCATGTTCTTGTTGTAACAGACAAATAAGTTTTGGGTCCCGAGATGAAGTTTAAACACCTGATTGTTTTGCAAGGAACAATAAGATCAAAGTATTGTTCGGAATATAGGTACAAAACCTCCAGATTATATAGCTAACTTCAGCTGTCTCTGATGCAAATTGTTACCATGGTAATGGGGGGAGGACACCTGTGTTTGGACATTCCCCAGACCTTGACCACTTTTAATGGCCGGATTTATCTTTCCTTAGTTAGGGGGGGTCTCTATCTTGCACTTGGATTCTCTTATCATTTAACTCCCATCCCTGCCATAACTCAAAGGTGCTTAAGCCTGGAATGTGTTGTGTCACAAGAAGTCTTTGTGCAGAAAGAAATCAGTTAACCCCCTTTTCACATCTTATATCTTTCTTCATTCTCTCTCTCATAGGAGTCATACCTCAATACGTAGAGATTATAAACAGGGTCATGATTGCACAGCACAACTGTCTCATGGAAATCTCCATGAAATAAATTATTTTGATATTACGTTTACCAGATAAGTGATAAAAACTGAGTTCCAGTGATATCTCGGATGCCCAGTTCTACAGCAGGGCTCTGCAGGAAAAGACTCACAGCTGTGTTGGAAACAGAGCCCCTGTGGGGTATCTAACCTGTAGAGCAACAGGTCTCCACTGGGTCACACTGTGAGCTCTGCTGAGACTCCTCACTCACTGCAGCCCATCTCAGTGCTGAGTTTCTGAAGAGGACTAATCTGTGATCTTTCTCTCTGACAGCGGAGGGACAGGCGGATTCCCATGAGGCACCACCGCATCTCTCAGAGATCAGGATCATGCTGCTGGGGGAGAGATGGTCTGGGAAGAGCTCAGCAGGAAACACCATCCTGGGCAGAGAGGAGTTTGACACTGAGAGAG